CAAAACATGTAAGGATTAGTAATGAATAATGATGTCATAATGATAAACAAAGAACATGAAACATTTCAATTTACCCAGTTAAATAATAACATTAAAGATAGTAAACATTAATTTATTTACTTATCCTATAGGCAAAAGGCTTAACTTGAAAATTTATTAGGGGTGGGGGCAAATATATAATTACATATCTAACCAAAAGGGTGTCCGTAGCCAGGGTTGGACTAGCTCAATAGCTCAGCCCGGGCAAAATAATTTCAAACGGCCTCAATGGAACAATAAGTACAATAATACTTGGAATAGGTAGGTACCTAATTACATTAATGTTTAACTGAAAATGTATCTTCGTAACTCAAAAAACAATATACCTACACACAAGTAGGTACATTTGAATATTTTCAGATTTCATGCTATACCTTAAATAAATCTAGTTTACGCATAATATATCTTATCTATAATATTGATATAATGATCTAACTATTAAGATTAATTTTACACCATAAAAAATTATTCGATTTAAATATGTTTATACATTTAATTTTAATTGAGTTAGAACAGGGGAGTCAGCAACTAATGTCTCTTTTATGCGGCTCGCAGTAAATTTCAAAACTAGCAAATGTCATTGAATATCATATAAAATGTTAATATTGTCCGACCCTAGAACCATTTTTAATTTGTGAATGTGGCCCAAAGATCCATAAAGGTTGTCGACCACTGAGTTAGAACATATTATTTTTAATAAAATGAATTGCTTACCGGTAATAATTGACTTGAAATCAACAGAAAGGTCGGAAACTAGTAACAGACTTGTTATTGACTGAACAACAAAACTATTAAAATGTTTTTAAATAAAAGTTAAATAAATCTTATAAAAATTATTATTATTGAAAAACAATTTCGTTATCGCATATCTTGCACGATTGTGTATACCCATACCAACATTTTCTTTTGGTTAAATGTTGTTTGAACAAACGCGAACGGTACGTCGTATTAACATACTGTACACATCTTTTGTATTCAAATTTCCTACAATTTTTCTATTTATAAATATTGTGATGAAATCATGGTTATCAATCGGCCTATCACGACATTAAATATGTTCAATTTTCAAACTCCTAGTTATATAATCCTGTATCATCGCATCCATTAGTAATGTCATGTTACTAGGCGATATTTTTTATTTTATTTTAAGAATAGAAGATAAACGCATTAAATTAAAAACAAAAAATCTAAGTTATTTTATTTAACCAAAATTACAGCAGCCCACCGGGACATGCCCCGATGCCCCGGACTAACCCTGTCCACGACTAAATGCCGTTTTACTACCTACCTACATTTCATTATACAAAATTATTCATTTTCTAACATTATGCTAGATAAGCATATATATGTATATGCATATTCATTACCTTTACATATTTAAACATATCAATTACAATGAAGTTCATTGTAAGAGCCATACAGTAGGTATAAATAGCGTAAGGATATTGATTTTTTATTTTATTTTGTAGTCCGTTAAATTTCCCAGACATAACATTTGTACCGTCATATGACTGAGCAACTATTTGTGGTTTAGAACTAAGTTTACACTTTTTCAGGTACTCTAATATGTAATGATATAAACTTTCAGCATCCTGATTCTTAGAACAATCTATAAAACCGAGAAATCTCTCAACATCATTTAGATTTTCAACATACCTTACACATAATGCCATTTGTTTTTGTTTGTAACACCTATAAATTAATTTAATAAAAATAAATATAAACCTAACCTTTAGATTCACTACAAACACTCAACTATAAATTATAATATACTTATATTAATGATTATAATTAAAAAATTATAAATAAAGCATAAACACAAGCACAAGCTTTTTCGAATTTCTAAAATCAACTAAAAAGCTATCTTCAAAATTGCCACTATTTCCAGTACTAAAATGTCTACAAGCAAAGAAAAAAATTGAATCTTTTGATAAACTATATTCAAGCCATTCATATGTTTTGTAATGCTTATGATTGAAAGCACGATTTTATTTACCAAATTTAGTTAGTGGATATGACTGCAATATATTTAATTTAAATATAATATAATAACTTAAACTATGTTAAGTGTTTACCTACATTTGTGCTTACTGTTAAAATTGGTCGCATAAAGTCTGTTATTAAAGTTCCCAAGTCGGAAATGACATTTTTATCTACAATATTTTCAACACTTTTTTGTGTAGTTATATCAATGTCTAAACCAATATTTAAATCTTCATTTTCAGATTCTAGTGTTGTTGTCGACGAGGAATTAGTAACAACTAATTTTTGTTTTTTAATATTGAAGACATCAAATATTCTTTTAGACATTATTGAATTAATTACAATTTAAAATTTAAAATTAATTGATTAATTTAGATAAATACAAAATTCACACAAATAATATAAAATTATTTCGTTTATTTCATTAGCACGTCACTTACGGAAAAACACGCGTATGTATTAAAAACAAAAAAAAAATATATAAAGGCGATCACCAAATAATCTCCAAAAACGTAATCGACACTAATGCTGCGGCGGTCTGCAGCTTGCGTATTTATAATTTTACAGATATCGCAAACAAGTTCTAGAATATTTGCGATTATCAATATATACCTACAAAATATGATTTTCCCAACTACGATAAGCCGTGAATATTCCTTACCGTTCTCGTATCTTAACAAAATGAAATAAAAATTATAAATATCAAGTATTGAAGCACATAATTTTTTATTTTTACGTTTACATTCCGGGGGGGGGGGCTTAAGTCCCCCCCCCAAGTCCTCCCCTATATTCGCCTATGACGTAGCCCTCATAAAAGCCCTGACAAGGGCTCTACTCGCCCTCTTGATGAGTTAGCAGAGTAGGTACCAATGATTTATCTATAGCTATTTAACTAAAAAGGAAGGTGGGTCAAAAAAAAAACGCATTATATCATTGTCATATTATTACAATCTTGTCTTCTCCTTCGCCATTCTCCCAACAATTTAGGGTTAGCCCCACTTATCCTAAACCTCCACTTAGGTTAGGTTAGGTTAGATTTTCTACACATGCACACACCAAAGCTCTCAAAACATTCTCAATCGTATCCAACCATCAATTTTTTGGCCTTCCTCTTCCTCTTTACCCTTTAATGTTCATTTTCATAACCACTGTTACTGCTTTTTTTTCCTCTCGCCTCATCACATACCCAAACCATTTCAGTCTATTTTCTCTCATCCTGTTTACTATCGACGTTACACTGTTTGCACCCAATTTATTGTATAAATTTGTTAAGACCATGGACCATTAAAGAATCTAGTACTTCATAAGTTAGATTTCTAAACTGAATTTAATTTTGTTCAGTTTATTGTAGTTCACTATTCAACTCTGTCGCTGATTTACAACACATCAATACAGTTTCCTCGTTTCTGATCACAGTAAATTAATTAAAAAATGTTAGTTTTTATTTCATCAACACATAAATGCACATCTGGAGTATTAAAAATACATGTTTTGACTATAAAAAAAATTTCTCGAAGAAACATAGTAAATAGACAAATTTATAATTTGATAGCTTCCGAACATCCGAACAGATTTTATTATTTTTGATCCATGTAAAAAAACACTAGGTTAAGTTGAATAGCATATTAATGTATAAACGTTGTTTTTGGATATGTCTCTTTAATGATCGCTTGATTGCTTCTATTTTGTCCTGCCATAACTAATGCTCCGTCATACATTTGGCACATGAGTTTATAACTAATATCCCAATTTTTATAAAAACTTCAATAAAAATCAATAACATTTCAGATAACCCAAAAGCTGATTTATATTTAGATACATCAAAAAATCCTATAAATCTCTGCAATTTTGCCATCGACAACATACCTAAATATAATGGTCATTATAGATTTAAATGACACGTCTATCGTTTCATCTGCTTTAATAGAAACAAGACTTGTTTTTTGCAATTAATTTAAAATATTATTTTATTTAACACACTTGTAACACAGGAAATTAAAATCATTTTGGATGTCACTATATGTTCCTTTAAAAATTGAACTCAACATAAAATGTTCTTTGAGCAGTTTCTCTTCTTGAGAATGTAAATCTAAAAGCTCTAAATAATTTTCCTTATTTATGGAGCTACCTTCGTTGTGGCACAAAAAACAATTTCTTGCTTCCCCAAAAAACAATCAACTTGTATTAAACTTGTATTAAATGTTCTTCTAACAGCGCATACTTAATCTGATTTACACCAAGCAACATAAATTTTTCTTGAGAAGTTAAATGTTTTCTAGATACTGCGTGTTTAGCTGCTTTATGACCAAAATGTGCAAAAATGTATTAAATAACAATAAAATAATACCTAAAATATCAATATTAATAACATTATTCTTATAAATTAGTCTTAACAAAAAACACAGAATTGTTTATAAATAATTATTTATTTATTCATAAAAAAAATGTGTTTGACTTCTTTGGTAATTTTAATTCAAAATTAATTGTGCCATGCATAAATATAAATTTGATCTGAAATTATAAATTTTTTTTTTTAAATGTTTTATTATTGTTACAGATTATTAAAAGTTATTTGCAACATGTGTATCATAATACAAATTTATAAATTAATAATTAAAGTAAACAAATTACACTGTTTAGTGAATTAATTTATGTATATAAAGAACTTATATTAAATAATATTAAATTTAATACTTAAATCCCTAGTTGCCCATTTTCTTAATAAGTAATTATACAAGCTTAAAAGCAGTATTAAAAATTACTTAATTTCATATTTAAAAATAAACTTAATGCTTATGCTTAACCCCAAAGAACAGTCTATTATAAAATTAGGAACAATTTTTTAAACATCAAAGGCCCCAAAATAATTATAAGAAAGCATAAATTAATAATAAGAAAATAAGAATTAAAACAATCACAATATAAAATGCAATTCTTTTGTGCGTATAAAAAAAATCCTTATTTAATTATTACTGAGTGTTGATTAATTCTTTATCAATATCTTTAGCTTCACCAAGAATTTGTAAAAGTAATTCATGTACAGGTTCAAATATTTTACGATAACATGAATCAGTTGGATGTAAGTAATCAAGCATATCTTGAGCACTGAGTGTATCATCTGATTGCAACAAACCTGTATTGACAGTTATCACTTCTAAACGAGAAATTGATTTTACTTTTTCATGTACTATTACATTAACCTTAGAATTACGAACACGTAATGGATTAGGCTTAGCACCACGAGGTAATAAATCCTAGAAAAATAAAAATAATCATATAAATATAATGTTTTATATTAAATATTAACTGAAAGACATTATTGTATTTGTTATTTTATAAAAATATTAAAAAAAAACTAATTATTTAATATCTATATTTTCGAATTTAGATTATTCTTTGAAAACAGCCAAATAGTTTAAAATAAATGTTTATGTATATTTGAAATTGTCAATATAATTGTGCCAGTAGTATATATGAAGAGGGGAAAAGATGGATAATCTCTCCTTTGAATTTTAGTAGGTGTTTTCTACAGTTTCATGAATTATTTACTACCCAAAAGCATATTAACAATTTGATATTTTGGCAAACATTTGCTAATGTTTTTACTTCATTGCATGTTGCTTTGTTTTGGTAAATTTTTATTAATTAAGATGTATACAATTAAATTACAGTAAAATATAATAATTTTGGGGTTGAGTCTTTTACATTTTTTTTTTTTTATTATTAATTTTGAAAAAATTTCTATTGATATCTATTTATATATTTTAATAATAGTATAATGTTAAAATATTGCATTGAAATAAGATGAATATTAAGCGAGATATATTGTTTAGTTTTTAGCTATCAATTATTTAATTTCTATAGAATATAAAATTGTTTTAAGTACTAAAATTTAACTAAATTTAATTACCAATACAATAATGTAGCAATCAGGGAGCTTGGATCTGATTTCTTTAATAATGGTTAAAATTCCTTCAGATATTTCTTCAGGAGAATTGCCAAAGTTGTTTGTACCAACATGAAGTATACATACCTTAATCAAAACAACAACAAAGAACAAAATTATACAAAATAATAGATTAACAATTTTAAATGTATGGTAAAATTAAAGAATAAAAATCAAACTAATCTATACATATTTTATAATTATGATAACTGATAATATAATGTTAGATACAAATATCACATAAGACATTGAAATATTCAATGTTATAATAAAAACTAGAAATAATTCTACAATTAAAAAAAAAATAAATAACTATAAACTTTTTTTAAGTATTAATTTTATAAAATGTTCATTCAATAAACTTTAAAAAAAATAAAAAGCATTTTAACAGTAAAAATATTTTGTTAAATAAATGTTGTCTAAAAATAATTGACAGTCCCAAAAGAAAACCATTTTGAACTTTTCATATTATTTAACACATATTTAAATACATTTTAATTTTTCTTGTTTTATACTAGTTTGAGTAAACTTAATTTTAAAGGATTTAAACATATATTTTCTCTATAATACAAAATAATTCTCTAAACAATTACAACAATGATTACTAATACATTTCTCACTTCACTCAAAATCCAAAAGCTTACAGTGAAAAAGAAATTTAGCATTGTAGAAATTTACCTAATATTATGGTTGAGTATTAATTTCAACAATAAAACCAATTTAACAATTCATAAATAACTCACAAATTATATGTTAAAAAAATGTATAAGGAATTTAGCAGAACATTGTAATTTAACACTTAAGTTATAAAATTGAACAATAAAATATTTGTCAAATTTCAAATACTTACTTATAAGTTATAACTCACTTTAGGTTTAATATTGTCAAGAATACCATTCTGGATTCTCCATAATACACCCTGGGTAAGATCACCACCAATACCAAAATTTAAACAATGTAAAGGTTCAAATAAATCATTCCATATAGGGCATGTTTGTAGCTTCTGAATAATTGAATCTCCAATCATAATAACATCTGGTTCACGTTCTTTAGCTTCAGATACATGCCGTTCATGCTAAAAACTCATTCAAATTATTAACAATATTATGATTAAAAAAAATTAGTTATAATTGATATACCTGACTCATCCATCTGTTGTCACCTTGTACATCAATGGGAACCTCAGGAACTATACAAGGATTCATTTTTTTACTTAAAATGAGATAATTTAAGTAATTTTAAAAATGTTAAGTTAAATTTAATACAGGTAAAAGTAATAATTAAAAATTATTGAATTTATCTAGCAATAAATTATAATAATTATTATGAAGTTGGCATACACATAATAAACACAACAAATTATTTAATTGTATAAACTATAAAATGTAAATTAGCAAAATTGTTGATAAAAACAAATAAAATAACATAAAGCTATAGGTGTATCTAGCTATAGGAAAAAAGGTATTTTCTTGACACCAGCTGACTATTTTCGGATTTTTATCACAGAAATAATATTGATTAAGTTATCATAATTTATTTCACTGTATGCAATATACACTAAAATATATATATATCATCTTCAGGTTTTACTGTTTGTGATTGGCAATTGAAGTATTAATTATTGAATTATTTTAGAATTAAAAAACTGTCTAAGTTGTGTTTGTTATTAAATTCTGTGTATATACTGTCTTATATACTGAATATATACAAATATTTAAGTAGTCACCAAAATTATCAATAAATTAAAATTATGTCAATAAGTGAACTTCCTTGTGTTTTTATATATAGCTGTTGTAACGATGATCCTTTGCAAACAATCAAATGTAAGCCTACTTGCTTATTATTAGTTATCTATTATAAATGAAGTAAATGTCTTTGGAGGACTCTAACTTTTAGCCATAATTACTGATGAAAAGTTTTATAATGCAATTTATCTAATATTACAATTGTTATTAATATTAAAGAATTTAATCATAATAAATAAATATTATACTATTTAAAATGTGTTTTGTTTAGTTTTTGTTTTGTTACTATTTAGACATATAATTATACAGAAAAAGTGTATAATGATATAGATTAATAAATTTATATACCTCATGAAACAGTTTTATAATATTTAACAATTTTAGAAATAGTTACATGTGCAATATGTTTAAGTTTAAATTAATAGTTTTTGTTAATTTCTATAATATTTTGTTATAGTAATAAGGAATGAAGAAAATATTGAAGTATGCAATTTAGAAAATACTACTTTATCAAATCAATGGACAATTAACTGCAAATACTACACTGCTGATGTAAATCTATGTACTTCTAAAAGTTTGAATGAACTATCTGATCAATTTATACACAATATTAATGCTATAATTATTCTTTTTGACCCAAAAAAGGTAAATATTTAACTATAATGAAATAAAATAAAGTTGTTTAAATATTTTATTATTTTAGAGCAATATTATAGAAAATATTGATGAATGCTTACCTTTAGTTCAAAAAAGTCAAGCTGAGATTTTAATACTATTGAGTGAAAAACATATAGATTGCGAATCAGCTAAAAATCTAAATGGTATTTTAAGTGAAAACTATTTTAATAATGAAAAACCTTTAAATTATTCATAATTGTTTTTCATATTAATTTGAAGTTTTTGAATGGTGTCGAAAAAATTATTTTGAATTAATTGGATTGGAAGACATTGCTGAAGAAATGGATACTACTGGAATTGAACGTGTAAGACAAGCTCTTTATGCACACCATTGGCCAAATCTCCAAGCCAAGTGTAAGTTGTTCTAGTTAATTCATTAGTAAAATTATTTTTCTTAAAATTGTATTATCCTAAGGTGAAATCACACATCCTAGCACCAAAGCAATTATTGAGGATAGTGTAGTAAACTGTCAGTTAAGTGGAGAGTTATCAGATTTAAACATGGACATAGAACAAGAAACTGATTTGGATAGTGATTTGTTTAGTAATTGAAAAAAAACATTAATTTCATTACATAATTATACTAAGATTATTTTAATTTTAGGTGAAATGTTCGAAGGAGATATTAATTTTTTCAAAACTATAGATAAGGTAAGAAAATTAAAAGAACAAATTTCTGCAATGCCTGATGAAGAAAGAAAAGATGCTGCTGAAAAAGCATTAACAGAATGTTGGAAAGCTTTTTTTGGAGACGATGTTGATTTATAAGTATTCTTTATAAATAGTGAAATAAAAAGTATTAAAAAAATAATCAATTATACTGAATGACAATTATATTATAATATACAATTTACAATACAGTTTATTTATCTAATCTACAAATTGGATTATCTTGTACCATTTGTAAATTAACCTTGGGGCCAACTAGATCTCTTATATTATTAATGCCATATTTAATCATAGTGGGTCTCTCTAATGATAAACCCCACGCAATGACGTTGACTTTTTCTGGTAAGCCCATTGGTAAGAGCATTTCAGGTCGAAACATTCCTGAATTACCAATTTCTATCCATTTCTTTAATCCTTTATGATAACAAAATATTTCCATACTGGGTTCTGTATATGGATTATAAGCCGGTTTAAACTTTATTTCAGTAATTCCTAAACGTTCAAAAAATGTATGAAGAACTCCAATTAAATCTCCAAGGGTCAAATTATAATCTGCTATTACTCCTTCAACTTGTTGAAATTCTGCTAAATGAGTAGCATCTAAAGTCTCATTCCGAAATACTCTATCAATACTAAAGTATTTGGTAGGTTTAAAATCTTTAGCTAACCCATGTAACATACGAGCACTTACAGCAGTTGTATGAGTTCTTAAAACATTTTTCTTAGCTTCATCTAAAGACCAATCATAACCATATCCTTGAGAACCATATCCACCTTTAGAATGTATTGATTTTACTTTGTTTAAATATTCTTGAGGGAAGTTTTCACTAAATTTTGGGTCATCCAGAAAAAAAGTATCATGTGAATCTCTTGCTGGATGTTGTTGAGGTTGGAATAGTGAATCAAAATTCCAAAATGAGCTTTCAACAAAATTATTGGTAGGCATTTCAGTAAATCCCATCTCGAGAAATATTTGACGAATATCAGTCCGTACTTTCAATAATGGATGTAGACAACCAAACAATGGAGGTTGACCTAAAGCTTCAAAGTTATAAGGCTTAAATGGAGACACTTTCCAGGATCCAGATAGTATCATTTCTGTTGTAAGTTCAGTTTCAAGCTTAATAATAGATGTAGTAAATTCTGGACCTTTACCTGCAGCAAATAATGCATATAAGTTAAAGGTAAATATCAAGAAGAAAAAATATATTCATATATATATATATATATGAATATATATATATATGTGTGTATACATACCTAATATAAAACTTTTGATGATTACTTCTCTGATTAATTTCCTTTTTTTATAATCGAGTTTGTCAGATTCAGCAATTTGATCATGAAATGCTTTCAATTGAATTAAATCTTTTTGAACCTTATCAACAACTGAATCAACTTTCTTTACCACTTTATTTGCAGATTTATCAATAGCAATCCAACCCTTAGACATAGCTTGACTGAATCCAATTTTAGCATTTGGCAATGACATTAATTCTTTCTGAGATATGCCATCCGATGGAACAGCATTATATAAGTTGACTTCATAACTACCATTCAATAAAACTAACTCTCCTTCATCAGTGAGCTCCCAGTATTTACTTGTCACTGGTTCAGCCGTAATAGTATTGCCTAGAGCTATTATACTTTTAACAACACCAATTATTTTTTGATGATCAACATTGTTTTCTTTAGCCAGGTCCAATGTGCTTACAGTTCCTTTAACATCTAAAAGTTTCAGTAATTGATTTGAATCCATAGTTGTAAATGAAACTTATAAGTTTTAATACTACGATTAATAATGTGTAGAATATGAAGGATACATTAGCAATAATCGACTAGTTGTGATAAGAAAATGTCAGTGGTTCTCAAAGATTATTGCTAAGTTAATACTTTTTATTGTTAACTAATTATCGTATCTTATAAAATCAGTGTGACCACCACATTAATGTATACTTTTATTACTACGTTTATTAAGATGATATCCCAGTTCTCCCGGATTGATAAGAAATTTAAAAATGTTCTAATTTTTTTCCAAAACAATTATGATAATTATGACATTAAAAAATAAAACCATAGTTGTCTCCAAATATTAATTAAAAACCCATAAACTATACCTATAACTAAATTAGATTATTAATCTAATTTAGTCGTCTAGCTTTGCCAGTTTGCCACTATTGGAATACATATATATTACCATAGCATGCGTTATATTTACATAGGTAGGTACCTATCTATGAATGAATAATATATCAAGCCATTACTCAAGTGTAGAATTCTGAAGATATTTTTTCGAACTCCTTATTTTCTTTCAACATTGGCAGATGAAACTGGAAGTATTGACTATAATCAATGGAATCAAATCAAATACAAATACTAGGTATACACTATACACCAGTAAAAGATAATAGTCAAAAAAATAAACAGTTTCAGCAATAACTATGAAACATTGTAATATCATTGTTAGTTACATTTTATTTTCACCAGCTAGTTGGTAATAATGCAACAGTGAAATAAAAAATCTAATACTTGTATATTTAAAATAATTCTAATTAGAGAACCATTGTTATTTATGCAGTATTTAAATTAATTTCAAACGTATAAATAACTATTAAAAAAAATAGTAACACGAAATTGTATGTAATAAAAGAAGTCAAAGTATGTAAATATTTATGTACTTACTTTTTCCAAAATATGTATTAAAAAACTTGAAATATTTAAGAAAAAAGTTTGTATTAACGATAATTTTTAATTACTCTTTAATAATTATTTATCTTATTGTTGTCTTCTCCAGAACAATTGGATAAAACGTACATTTGAAGATTTTTAAATTTGGTTGTACGGTGGTTAGTTTCAAACTCGACTGGTAGTGGCTTAAGGTGCATTAAACATCAATTTAGGTTAAGGGAGCATATTCATACCACTATCGGATGGTGTTACTTCAATATTATCTAAAATGTTGCCATTTTTAATCATAATTATATCTCTAATATACTTTAATTGTTTGTAAACTAACTTTATAATCGAGTACGTAGTTTAATTTATTTTTTATTATACGTTTTGAACGTGTTCCGGGAGAGCACAGGCTATTAAAATAATATCAACGGAAAGAGAGGTGATGTTTTATACTGTGTAAAAATATCTAAGGAAACACTTTGCTCGATTTCGAGATATAAATTTCCGTAAAAAAAATGTTGCAAACAATATATTTCTTGAAAACAAATATAGCATTGCAAATAGTCAGTTTTTAAGGAATTCAGTTTAAGCAATTATTTTAGGGCGTGCGTGCATACCTTTAAGACAGAGCTTGCGCTAATGTACCACCTTCGCCCCCTCCCACAAATACGCCCTTGGTGGAAGAGGTAAGGAGTGATGTGAACGGTGACGGAATATAAAAATGAAAAAACATCAAACATTAATTTTTTTGATTATTTATTAAAATTGACCCTTTAAAATTATATATATATTGCTAATTATGATAATTTTAGTAAAAAACAATATGAATTCCTTAATGTAACAGAGTGTACAATATTTTTTGGTATCCCATCTTTCGCCAACACAAACTGGATGGTTCGAGAGAACGCCACGTATAATTCGTCACACGTATAATTTATCACACGTCCGTGTGAAAAACATGATTTTGATTGAATCGCAAGTATCGAAATCGTTCGCTCTCTATCTTTATATACATGTCGACATCAATATTGTTGACAAAGCTCACGACATCGTAGAATTACGTTGTCCTGATCGCGTCAAATTATCTACCGATGTGCATAATAATCCTTCGAAGTAACATTCTTATTTGTTTTGGCACCTGTTGCAGGATCTTGTTGTTTAATATTTATGCAATACCCGTCATTTAATACCAAAAATAAAATTAATAGTTTTTAAATAGTTTTTAATAGTTTTTTAATAGTATTATTTAATAATTAATTTTCAATTGCACAGTTATCAATCTGGTCAAAAACTATTAAATTAAACTACGATTTATTAAACAATAGCACTTAGGAGTATAAAAAATAGATAAAAACCTATTCACAGACTTACTAAATGTATATACAAAATTTCATTAAAATCGGTTAAGCCGTTTTGGAGGAAAATGGTAACAAACACTATGGCTCTCTATGAAGATCCATTTTTTTTGGTGTCAACCGGGGTCCCCATTTTAACGATTAATTATGTCATATGGACAATTCTAAAAGCTAAAGCTTGCTGTAGCTTTTTAAAATCGAAAAAACATTCCAGAACTCAAAAAAATCAATTATCAAAAAAATTTTTAAAAAAGGGTTTTTCCAAAAAAATTTTTTCGTAAAAAACTTCTGGCAATTACGAACAATTAAAAAAAAATTGTGTCGACTCGACCCAGCTGTTCTCAATTGATGAATTGTTATACATTTTTGGCTTCTTTTTTATATAAATAGATTATTATTTCATAAGAAAAATTATATAATAGCAATTATTGTTATAATTTTTTCAATTTTTTTTTACATAGTTTATTTCTTTCAGTTACCTATTTAAAAGTTCTTGGACAAGGTGGTTTTTTACAATTTGACAATCGCCGACGATACTCACTCACTGCTTACAGTAAATATTGCTTCTGGTCTTCACATTTAGTTATTTCTTTTTTTTTATTTATTTATTTTACAATAAGGTATTCCTAGCTTTCGCTATCTACACCTAGTGATGTGGATAATTAATACATTTTGGTGTGTTAAGTGCGACAATTTTAAGTAAAATGTTAACAATAGTTAGAGACTTAAGTTAGAATGTTTCTTGAGGGATTAGGTCATCCGGGCGACCTCGTTGGAGGCGGCGTTGTGAAGGTAATCTGATGTTGATGTGGTAGTGCATTGAACCTGTTGACTTGTGAATGGATTCGAAGAAGCTCACAGCAAAGAGCTTGATGTGGTCTTGAAGAGTTGGAATTTTGAGGTCTTTGTGTATACTTTAGTTCCTTACGAACCATGGATCGTTTGTTATCTTTCTTAAAACTTTGTTTTGAAATATTTGCAGTTTTTTAAGATGAGTTTGTGCACATTTATCTCAAATAGGGCAAGCGTATGTGATTAATGGACGAAGTATTTGCTTATAAATAAGTAGGAAAGTATTTTTTTGTAGCGAAGATTTCCTGTTTAAGATAGGGAAGAGCATTCCTAGTCGTTGATAGGCTTGTTGGAATTTAGATGAGAGGTGTGGACACCAGGTTAATCTTTTGTCCAACGTTACGCCAAGGTACTTGACGGACGGCTTCCATGCGATTGGTTCGTTGTTAAAAGTTAGCGGTGGTGAAGTAAGATTTCGGCGTAAACTGAATAATACACTTAACGCTTTTTGAAGGGTTAATTGATATTTTTCAGTTTTTGCACCAGGCAGATAATGTATTTAAGTGGTTTTATAGATATACAGATATTGCTTCAGGGTTGCGAGATTCAGAATAAATGGCAGTATCATCCGCGAAGAGGATTATGTTTATGTGCGGTGACTGCGGGATGTCGGATGTGTAGATATTGAATAATGTTGGGCCAAGTATTGATCCTTGTGGGACGCCAGCTAAGATTGGTTGGAAAGAAGAAAAGTTGTCATTTATTTTAACAGAAAATTGCCTATTAGATAGAAATGAAGTTAGGGAGTTGAGTAGATAATTTAGTGTGTTGATAATTTTGAGCTTGTACAACAACCCATGATGCTATACCTTATCAAAGGCCTTAGAGATGTCAATAAAAACGGCACCCGTGTGGCAGTGTTTTTCAAATGAGTTACTTATGTGTTCTATTATACGCATGAGTTGTTGAGTAGTGGAGTGATGTGCTTTGAATCCAAATTGAAATTTTGGAATTGTGTCTGTAAAGTTTAGGTAGCTTTGCAATCTCGAAAGGATGACTTTTTCAAAAATCTTAGATAAAGATATTAGTAGAATAATTGGTCTATAGCAGTCCGGGTCTGTTTTGTCATTCCCCGGTTTTTTTATGAGGATTATGATTGCTTTTTTCCAGTTATCCGGGAAGTGACCAATACGAAGAAGCGAGTTAAATAGGGAAGTCATGAACATAATTGCTTTAGTAGGTAGTTTTTTGTAAATATGATTCGTGATGTTGTCGTGACCAGGAGATTTTTTATTGGGTAGTCTTTTGATTATTGTTTTAATTTCACCTGGAGTAACAAAATTGATTGATTTTTGTATCAAGAAGTTTGGTGATGCAGAAATTCTTCAACCCTAAGATCATTAGTGTTGTGTGCGTGTTGGTACGGGGAGAAAGTGTTCGATAGGTTTTTCGAGAAAATTTGCATTTTCCGCGTCAGATAATGATGAGATGAGCTGTAGTGCGAAGAGAAAGAATGCAGTTTGTCTCTTAGTTTAATAATCTTTTTGTGACTTTCCATAAGTTAGAGTCTTTTTGATGAATATTTGACAAGAACTTGCTATATGAATTTACGTGGAATTGTTGCAAGGTGGTTTACACTTCTTTAGTAAGCTTGTTTAACATTTTTTTAGCTGCAGGATTTCTCTGGTTTTGCCAAACGCGCGTGGCATTGTATTTTTGTTGGATTAATGTCAATATGATTAGTGGTAAGGCACCGTGATTATTTTGAATTTGATTTGGGGGTGTAGTGACCGAGCACACCCACGCAGCATTAGTAATGACTTCAGTGAAGTGTTCGGCCAATTTGTCTGCTGCTGGGACAGTAGTTATATTATTAGGTATATTTAATTTTTTATTTATGTAATCCGAGTAAGTGCACCAGTTAGGTTTACCTTTGAACAGTGAGTTATTTAGACGGTAAAATTGCAATGGAGAATTAAAATGTATTTTAACTGGATTGTAATCCAAGTCAAGTTCAGAGAGG